TTTTTTGACAATTTTGTAAAGCGTATCGATAAAATTAAAATAAATGGCATTTCTTCTAATGAATCCGGTAGAGTTTTGGCTTCCGATACCGCTACTGGATGTTATCGTTACTTGCGGCAATAAATTCTTCTAAGGCATTACAAGTTTGTTAAAACTGTGTATACACTGCTTTGACTGCGTCTGTTTTGGCTTCCCATTGAGTATCGTATAATGGTTTAAGCGTAATGTATAAAGAAGTTAAATATTTTATATAATTTCCCACTATTTTGTAAATGCAGAAAATATGCAATATAAACGGGGCAATATTCAGAAAAAAATGATTATAATTACTACTGGAAAATTAAAATATTGCTGGAAGCAGAATCACAAGTTATCAAATTAAAAGAATTTGATAAACCCTTACGCAATATATGTACTGTTTTCCTTTCGTATTGCTACCGTTATCCTATGCTTGCTCTCTATAATTCATATCATCTAAATCGAGCTCACCTATTGTTTTTAACAGCGCATTTGCGCTTTTGCTTCACCAGTCACATCTATTACTTCGATAAACCCTATAAATGACAATTTTTTGTCCACAAAATTTACATATGTAATAATTATTGAAGTTTGTTTCTTGTCAGAATTATCGGCAGGAGTACAATCCATTTGCACACTGTAATATTTGGCTGCTTTTAAATCGTCTTTAATTTTATTAAGGACTTCATTACTAACGCAGCAATAATTTCCTCGAGATCTACAATTCTTTTCGTACGTTTCGATTCTTTATTTCATGTTTAAATGATCCATTAGCGCAGGGTCATATTTACTTAATAATTCTGTTAAACTTAAAAAATTTCCATTATTCTGCGCTCCCGTCGTTTCACGGGATCCTCGAAATGACAGATTATTACTTGCTAAAAATTGAATGATATCCACAATGCTTTCAAATATTAATTTTAGACAGTTTCTTTCTTTATATTAAATTTCATTTGTTCTGTCAACGGTCGAATATAAATTAAGCTTTTTTAATAATTCTTGCCAAGCAACAAAAGTATTCAAATGACCGACAAAGCTCGTGATCTCTAATTACAGTTGACAGTTTTCTCCATTTATTAAAACCATATATAAACAGTGTTGATTGATCTTTTGTTTTGGAAAATAAAACACAACAAAAGAAAAATACTGTCTCGAGCTTCTGCGAACTAAGTTTCATTTGGCATTTTTTTAAACAGTACGATGTAGAAAATGATCTACCTTCGACATTCTTAACGAAAGCGTCTTGATGACGACGTTTAGGCCCAATTTAACAAAAAATAATCTAAATTTATCAGTTCTAATATTTGGCCACAAATCTGAGTCATTTATATTCACTTCGTCGTCGTTATTTACTAAGTTCGTATAATCAGATGCATCTTTTTCGACGAATTCCACCGTTTCTACATTTTCGTTACAAAGTTGTGTAGTTTATTTGAGTTTTCTTCTACAGTTGAAACTTGTATCGCATCTGCCGAAGTTGCAGCAATTTCGTTGTCGGATTTATTTTGTAGCCACGAAAACNACAATACAGTAACAGTATCAATCGCAACGTTGAAAAAAGTTTTGTAAACTTTCATGTTCTGCTAGTTTTTCTTAGAATTATTTTTCAGGGATGTCTTCTGAAATATTTAACTTTCGTGCGATTATTTTTGCATGATTTTAAATTTTGGGTTTCTTTTTTAATTTTATTTACTAAATTAAAAGCAGAGACGAGAATAGTTGTTTTTGCTTGAAATAGTTTGTTGGTACCATTAATTTTTTGACAATTTTGTAAACTTAAAATGAATGGCATTTCTTGTAATGAATCCAGTAAACTTTCAGCTTCCGATAGTGCTACTGTATGTTATCGTTACTTGCACCAATAAATTCTTCTGGGGCATTATAAGTTCTTTTTCTTGTGTTTCGATTCTGTTTAAATGATCCATTAACACAGGGTCATATTTACTTAATAATTCTATTAAACTTAAAAAATTTCCATTATTCTGCGCTCCTGTTGTTTCGTGGGTCCTGGAAATGACAGATTTTTACTTGCTAAAAATAGAATATCTAAAATTTTTTGAAATATTGATTTTAGGCCGTTTCTTTCTTTATATTAATTTCGTTTGTTCTGTCAACAGTCGAATATAAATTAAGCCTTTTTAATAATTCTTGCCAAGCAATAAAAGTATTCAAATGACCAACAGAAAGCTCATGATTTCTAATTACAGTTCACAGTTTTCTCCATTTATTAAAACCATATATAAACAATGTTGATTGATCTTTTGTTTTGGAAAATAAAGCACGACAAAAGAAAAATGCTGTCTTGAGCTTCTGAGTAAACTAACCAGCTGCCAACTAAGTTTCATAATTTGGCATTTTTTTAAATAGTACGATGTAGAAAATGGTCTACCTTCAACATTCTTAACGAAAGCTTCTTGATGATGTTTAGGTCCGGTTTTAACAAAAAATAATCTAAATTTATCAGTTCTAATATTTGGCCACAAATCTGAGTCATTTATATTCACTTCGTCGTCGTTATTTACTAAGTTCGTATAATCAGATGCATCTTTTTCGACGAATTCCACCGTTTCTACATTTTCGTTACAAAGTTGTGTAGTTTATTTGAGTTTTCTTCTACAGTTGAAACTTGTATCGCATCTGCCGAAGTTGCAGCAATTTCGTTGTCGGATTTATTTTGTAGCCACGAAAACAAACCTACTTCTGACTTTTTGAGATTTTGCTTTTCTGTTAATTTCTTTTTTTAACCCCAGAGGGATACTTACTTGGCACGCACATTATGGGTTCTAATAATTCATGAAATAGAAATATTTAATATTAACAAAAAGTTAAAAATGTAACTTACTTTTACAATATTACAAAATTTTAGCAACAGTCAAGGGAAATGTTTATTTTTTCCGTTTGTTTACTTCAGTACTTCAATTTCACCTTTATCTATCAACTGAGTTAAAATTAACGTAGTTGCGAATCCACAAAAGTTGGGAATTTCGAATAACGAAAACTAAACACTCGCGCATCTAGTGGAATTCTCAACAATTACCGATACTTTGTAAAGTGGTGAGATGGAGGGGTATAATGGTAATCACGTTATTTTAAATACTGTTTAGTAATTAAATTTAAGCTGAAATATATTTTTTTCAAATTAATTAAATAAAAAAGATTAATCAAAAATTTCTATTCAATGGATGTCCTTAGTTTAAAAAATAAACAAACTTATATAAAAATACTAGATTTAATTTGAAAATTAACAACAACAACGTTACACATTTTTCGTTTCCATATATAATAAATAAAAAAATACTATTTAAAAATTTTGAAATACGTACTGCTCCAAATTTCAGGAATAAATGTAAATTAATTATAGTAAGTAATAAAATTAAAAATCGTGACGTCGTTTCCCGTTTAGCGAAAACGAATGTCTGTTGTATGTGGTTAAATAAAATTTTTATTTCTTCATAATTATTTTCATACATTTTCGCTCGTGGTTACGTACTATGACATCACGAGCGAATAAGCTCCAGACACCAAGTCCGGTATAGAAACAGGATAGCGTAGTTGCAGCGTTTTTCTTTTAATTGTTAATGTTACGGACAATTCCCTTGTGCGCTCGTGTTTGTTACACTCCAAATAAAACAATACCACCATATCCAAAAATAACTATAAAAAAAATAAAACTTTTATACGACTATCTACAGAAACTTCGTTTTCGCTACAAAGACATCACGATTTTTGATCTCGTTTTATCATAAGGAATAGGAATAGTAATAATAATGTTAATCATACGTAAAATAATAAAACGACTATGTTACACATTTTAAAAAACTAAAGTGGCGAAGGATCAAACCCATATCCTGTAGCTACAACGTGTGGAACCTTATTTACTCGACTACTGCCATTCTTACAAACGGAACTTCCACACTTTAAAGGTAAACAATCAGTTTTCGTCACCGCTTAATAATTTGGTCCTATTATTTGAACAAGCAATTATTTGTATTCAAAGCTACGCGTTCACCAAGTTCCGTTCGAATCAAAGACACGAATGTTTGACCACTCCTTGTCAGCACTTAAATAATTAATATTCAACAAATTTTGCATTATTTTGCTCACTGTTTCTTTGACCGACTGCCAACTTTTATTTAAGCTAGCGCAATATATAATTTTTAAAAAATACTCGAGCGCTCGTATTTTTAAAATGTAGTACTTAAATAGCAGTCAGTTTTTAATTCTATTCCAATTCATTCTGCTAACTTTTGTATGCCAGCTTACAAGGGAGTAATATCGAGTGTTAAAAGGCCAACAGCTTTCGAAATTTCGGGATTCACACTGATGCTACATAAATCAATTTTATTCTTACAAATCTAAGTAATTGCCAATTCGGCCAATCAAATAGATTACAAATATTTACCACCATCAAAATACATTGCAAACCAATGATATAAATTACAATATATCAAACGTAATTCTTATATTTTCAAAGGCATTAATACAACATAAAAACATTTTAATTTTCCTGACTCTATACAAAAAACACATTTGGAAACTCATTTTAAAAGACAGATGACTGATAATCTAATTATTCATAAAAACAATTGCAACAAGTTGCAATGTCTTGGCCAAGGAGAGCATTGGCATAATTTTTTTACTTTTTTCGTAATGAATAGTATATGTAGAGAAAATATTACTTTTACTTATGATTATATAATATTCAAATTTCTGTGTAAAAACCATAGAAATTTTTTATACGAGTGTCAATTCGAAAATTTATTCTTTTTAAAAAGGAAAAGTTACAAATGTTTCTACGAAGTGAAGTTGTAATGTTCAATATGACAAATACGTCATTATATTCTTCTGCCACTTTCTAACCGAGACTATCGAAACAACGAACGTAACTCGGTTAGAAAGTGGAAGATTAATATAATGCCATATTAGTCAGATTGAACATTACAACTTCACTCGATAAAAATTTNTACTCGAGCGCTCGTATTTTTAAAATGTAGTACTTAAATAGCAGTCAGTTTTTAATTCTATTCCAATTCATTCTGCTAACTTTTGTATGCCAGCTTACAAGGGAGTAATATCGAGTGTTAAAAGGCCAACAGCTTTCGCAATTTCGGGATTCACACTGATGCTGCATAAATAAATTTTATTCTTACAAATCTAAGTAATTGCCAATTCGGCCAATCAAATAGATTACAAATATTTACCACCATCAAAATACATTGCAAACCAATGATATAAATTACAATATATCAAACGTAATTCTTATATTTTCAAAGGCATTAATACAACATAAAAACACTTTAATTTTCCTAACTCTATACAAAAAACACATTTGGAAACTCATTTTAAAATACAGACGTCTGATAATCTAATTATTCATAAAAACAATTGCAACAAGTTGCAATGTCTTGGCCAAGGAGAGCATTGGCATAATTTTTTTACTTTTTTCGTAATGAATAGTATATGTAGAGAAAATATTACTTTTACTTATGATTATATAATATTCAAATTTCTGTGTAAAAACCATAGAAATTTTTTATACGAGTGTCAATTCGAAAATTTATTCTTTTTAAAAAGGAAAAGTTACAAATGTTTCTACGAAGTGAAGTTGTAATGTTCAATATGACAAATACGTCATTATATTCTTCTGCCACTTTCTAACCGAGACTATCGAAACAACGAACGTAACTCGGTTAGAAAGTGGAAGATTAATATAATGCCATATTAGTCAGATTGAACATTACAACTTCACTCGATAAAAATTTACATAAACCCCCAAATATAAAACAAATTTTTATGTTTTTATTGTTTTTATACGAATATTTCTTTTATAAAATCCTCAACGGTGCATATCATATTTATTCAAAATTACTTTTTATATTTATCAAAATAAAAATGTTTCCTATTCACACTTCTTACAATTGTTTTGTTAAATTTCTTATTACTTAAATATAGCTCATTTTCATCAGCGTATCCTTAATTTTGGCATAGTAAGAATATGAACTAAACAGACTAAACGCACTTCGGTAGTTAAACATAAAAATATAAGAATCAAAAGTCTACTTTTTAAAACTCTGAATTTAAAAATATATACTGTATTAGAGAAATCCGTTACGAATGTTCTATTACTCTTAAAAGTGTGCTAAATTCACCACTCATAATACAGACTCGATCCAAGATGTCCGAATTTCTGAGTATTTTATCTGACAAGTGAATGTAATAATTGCAATTTGACTCACGTCGGTAAAAGTTACTCCGACGGGTTTGTCAATCTTTTCGATTAAATTCACAACACGAAGAAACTGGAACAATAAACTCGATCAACAATCAATAACACAATCAATTCATATTTTATCAACAATTATTTGTGTTTGGATGAAGGCAAAAGTGTCCGGCTCCCACTTTAAATAGCCTTTGTAAATGTTTATCACTTATTACATGGATTTTACAACAAAACGGTAAATGAATTAACAGCCACAAGTATGAATTTTGATATTAACCAAACCTTACTATAACATTTTTAAATAAAAACTAGTAAACACAGAAAATAGCCATGGAAAATATATCTGGACACATCTAATTTACTTGTGTGAATACCAAATACTATAATTGTATTATAATTTATGACTTTATAGAATAATGTTTATATTTATTTTCTTATAATATATTCTTGTTTAAATAAAATGTCGCGTTAGTTTATTTTCCCAAAAATCAGGATATAAAAATATTCCAAAATAAAGCGAAACGGAAAATTTTTAATGGAATTAATATCGTTTATATTCACAAAATTTAAAAAAGTTAATACTGATTCTACGATGCACTAGGATCACAAGATCTTCAAAGAGAACCACACCATGGATCTCTTAAGTAAGGAAAATAAGAGGTAGCTGGTGCATCTTTTAATCAAGATAATTTGTCTTCAGAAAATATTAATTAGGAATTGCATCGTGCATAGTAATATAAGTCTACGACTGCTGTCATTTTGATTTAGTTAATGTAAAAATTTAAATTTTTATAAATTCATTAATCTAAATACCTGAAATCTCCAGTTACTTCAAGTATGGAAATAAAATTTTTTAAAAATAATTTCAAAATATTGGAAAATTTTTGTATATATTTGAGAATTTTAAAATATTTTATAAAATTATATTTATATACTCATTATCATAAATATATAATTTTCTTCGAGAATCTTCTTTATACAACACTGACATCACACACAATATAAATAATACTTATTGTAACGAAGACTAATTTTTACGGCATTTCCTGCATAGTTCCACGAAATGGTTTTTCTCCATCACTTGTAAGGTTTCAAAATGGATTGTTTCAGTTTTCGCATCATCTTCATGGTTGTGCGCTTATTCGATTCCTCCGATCTGTCCTCCACCTTGTGCTTCTCTTTTGTCGACAATCTGTCGAAAGATGCATCTAGAGATCCTCCAACGCCACCATTACTGCTCGATGACTGCTCACGTCTCTGAAATAAATTTATAGCATCACATAATTCTGCTACTTTCGGCACTGTATAATGTAACAAAATAAAAACACTGATTTTTCTTCCTCGTCATGTCATAGCCCACACTGATTGCTTTAATTCTGTTTTTAATTCTAATTGTAAATTATTTTTATAAAATATTTAAATTTTTCATAATTGTGCGATTCTAACAATTTTAACCAATTAAAAATTTCAGTTTGGAAAACTGACATTTTAAAATTGTTAATTCGTTCAAAAAAACATTCCCTTAAAATCAGGTAAACTGATTAATAAACGTTTTCTATAATTTAACCACGTTATAAAATCATTTAGCTCGTTTGTTATTTTTCATTTACATACACAATCTTTTAAACGATTTCCACAGATAAGAGTTGCCAACTGTTCGAATTTAAAATATCTTTTGTAAAAAAACTCTTCTGAAATGTTCTGAAAAATGAACGAGGAGCTGTGTTTTCATCTTAGCTTGTCCCTTTTCTACGTGGTAAGTTGGCATTCCTAATCATAATCAGAATTACCAGATGTACTTGATCGCCTCTTGTTCTCCAATGCTACAGAAAGGCTCTGCCCAGTTGCTGTCTCACCGGTGCCAGTTATTTTTCCAAAATAACAGGCACCGTTCGAATCACCCAACTAATGAAAAACTAATTCTATATTCTATCTTGTTTACATTCATCCGTTAATACCAGGGGTCACCAAACTTTTCTCACAGCGGGCTACGTAACTGAGAGAATGACGAGCGCATAACCATTTTGTTCAATACAGTACTCTGAATACACTAAAAATAAAGACAACTAACATATTTATTTATCAATACACAAACACGATGGCTGCAGCAAACTCATAATGGCTTTTCTTAGAAACTCCATTGCAGCTACTTACAAAAAGCGCTAGGACATCCAAAGTTGCCAAATTTTTTATTTCACCGATTTTCCTAAAAATTACATTACTCTCAGATACAAAAATCAGATTAGACCAATTTTGGCATTTTTACTTACACTTATTTTAATTTTTTCTACATAGTAAATTTATCTACAAACTCTGATATTTTCATATAAATGATTATATTTTAGCTCATTTGTGGCACAGTGTGGTAGCGGGCCATAGTTTCGCGAACCCTGGTTAACACGAATACTAGTTTTTAGTTTAGAAAAATACTTATTGAATTTGGGACCATGTAAACAGAACTAAAGTACGCTATTCAAGAAATAATAGGATTAATAGGTATTATAGAAAACAGCGAGTTTTAAAGCTATTAAATTAGAAAACTAATCTGTTTCTTTAGGACATAAAAATAAATATCTTAACATTTTAAAACATATTCAACTAATTACATAAAGCTGAGTTTATTTTTGTAAATTAATAAAGTTATTAATAGTATAATTGAGCCGTTGATTTTGAAAGTGGACTTGTCTCACTTTCATATTCAACTCACAATAAATATCGTGGACGAAATAAATTACTAGTAACAAAGTTATACTGATATTAAGTTATTTATTGTGAATTGATTAGAAACATAAATTTTACGTTAATTTCTTATAAAAATTAGCTTTAACCTTTTTTTCACAAAATGGACTTTCCCCACTTTCAAAATCAACGACTCAATCGATAATAAAAGAGATTAAACTATTGGTTAAGAACTGCTCGACTATTACTGTAATATGTAAACATTATTTTAGGTCTTTAATAAAAAAAACCTTTAAGCAGAAATTTACATACTCTATATTTAATGTAAAGTGTGTACTCCTGTTAAGTGCATTAGAAAATTACTTGTAATATATAAACAACATTGTACTGTATATAAAAAATCTAGCAACGAGTTGCATAACTTTCCCGGCTGTTATGAGATTCTACTTAAAAGTGTTTATACTATTAATTATAATAAACTAGCTTACCCGTCGCGCATTGCTGCGATCTCAGAAGAGATGAAATTCAAGCAAACTCGTTATAATAAAATTAAATTTTCATTTTATCATTTTTATTGAAATATATTATTATTATTCGTTTTCATCGGGAAAACATTTCAAAGTGTCGTTTCAATTCTATTTATTTATTGGAGTGCTCGTGGATACACGATATTTTTTGTTTTTTCGTCTGGTGCGTACACGAATAAATCAGAAGGTTTTCCGACACATGAGCCGGCCACATACAGTTGTCCACGCGAGAAGCACGGATTCTCCAAACTTAGCCCACACACTTTCAGCGATTGTCAGAAGCGCGATATTCCCCATTTATATATATTTTTTTTAATCCTTTATAATTTTAATTATTTAATTGCTCCTTCCTCTCTTCCTTGGCATGTTGTGAAATTTCTGATAGTTGGATAATAAACCGTTTTATTGTAATTTGTCTTTTTAAATTATTTTGAGTCGATATTAAAATTTGAAAAAGGGGGATACCTAGATCGGTAAAATAGGCGAATTTCTTCCTACAACTTCGGTCGTTGTTTGGGGTACAGTTAGGATTTTAACGAAGTTCGAGCGAATACATAATTAGCAAAAAAAGTCGAAATAAAGTGATTAAACAAAAATTATTATAAATATCGTAAATAACAGTTCACAAATGCATATATAGAGATATTTTTTGAAGGGGGAAATGGTCTTCACAATTTGAAATCGATCGTACACACTATGCGCGATTGCTCGTGTAAGCGCGCGCCATCTATCGTAGGATAAATGTACTTCGCGGGAGTGTATTAAAAAATTAAAAAAACTTTCCAAAGTTTTATGGCAATCGTACTATGCCACAAACCTTCGCCGGAGTATATTAAACAACTTCCCAAAGTTTCACGGCAATCGGATAAACGGTGTGGTAATGCATAAAGGACACACACACACACAGACAGACATACATTCATTTTTATATATATAGATAAATAAGATTGTATGTAGCGCCATCTCTTATGAAATTTTGTTATACAGTAATCCCTCGACTTACGCGATTTTCAAATCTCATCGATTCGTCTTTTGTTTGAGCGCCACACAACTCTTGATTACTCACTCCCCCAACACTATTGTTCAGCTTACATTTCGGACGTGTCGCGCGGAATCCACACATAGCTACAATTTATTTTGTGTTATTTATTTCTGTGTTTGTTATATCTACGGAGACTCAAGAGATTTCTTGTAACCGTGAACGAATCAAATGACGAGATAAGATTAACGAGAACATTTATTAGCTTACATATGTCCGACTTGGATTTTACATAAATTTCGAAATTATACCCCGACTTACGCGAATTCGACTTACACGGTTATCGCTCTGTCCCACCTATCACGTAAGTTCGGGGTATTACTGTATTTATTAATCGTTACAAAATGGCAAAAAGCTTAATATTGAGGGTAGGGTGAGTTTATAAAAATTTATAAATGCTAATAACGAGCTAAATCTTCATTAAGTCCAATCCATCTTGAGACAAGACACATGATCCCTTCTGTTTCCCCACCCTATTGATCTTTCACCTCCAAAATGTAATGGCATCAATGCCTCTACAATACAATACAACTAACAAAAGACAATGACTGTACACTAAGAGTTAGCCGGAGAAAGAAGGAGAAGGGAGAGGGAAGACAATAAGAAAAGGAAGAGGATGAGAAGACAGAAACAAGAGAAAGGAAAAATCCCTCTGAACAGTGTATATGAGGTTACTATTCCCTCTACAATAAATGTTGGTGTTAGGTTCTTTGGCTGCAAGACTGTGGGTCAAAAAGAAAACCTGAGTTAGAGTTATAGCTTACACCAGTAAGTAGTGAAGCTATATAAAAATAGAAAGACTAAAGATTAAGGCTTTAAACTAGAGTGAAAATTTAAATCAAATACTAAAGTTAATACAGAACCTAAGCTAACAACCCTATAGGAAGCACAATAATATAACTGAAACAACCAGGAAGATAGCTAAAAAAGTAATAACTTAAATCTAATTTAACTAACTTAGTAATAATTACGATTTAAGATAGCTATAATTTAAAACTAGTTACACTAATTTATTATTAAACAGGAATGCTGACAAAGATAACAACTCAGATAAGAGTATGCCATGACAAAGACTTCAAGTAAGATGCCAATTTATGTTTTTATATATATATAAGATGACAAAAGACACAAAAGACAATGAAATTAAGACAAAACAGAACCCAAAGGACAACAAAAGAAATCAAGGGACAACACTAGAGAACTTTCTTTCTTGAAATTTTAAATTCGGAACACGATTTAATTCCAAACCCACCCGACCAGAATAAATTTGCTACTATAAAAGACTCATCTTATAGACATCTGCTCGAAAAGCAAATCTCCCAAAATCTGAACACTACTTCAAGGGTTGGAGCTGGGAGACCAAAGCCATGCTTCCTCTTAACATGGATGTGAAATTTAGCTGGTAACCATTTTAACGAAGATCTCTTAAAATCCCTCTGGCTTTCAAGATTACCACACAATATACAAGCCATCTTAGCCACATCAAACGAAAAACTTCAACAACTGGCCATTATGGCCGACAAAATCGTGAAATTGGTCTCCCCCACACATCAATACGGTCAAACATGATCCCTTCACAATCTCAGCCCTGGAGAACCAAGTTTCAGAATTAACCAAACAGGTTAAGAACTTTGCTGCATCAATCAACAACCCGTGCCGCTCCTACGAATGCTCCAAATACACCTCTAACAACAAGGTGCCGCAGCAAATCACGTCAAAATCAACAGCACAGCAGCCCTGACAAAGGCATATGTTTTTACCATACTACCTTTAGTGCGCAGGCAAAAAAATGCAAAGCCCCTTGCTCTTTTGACCAGTGGAAAACTGACTGGGTGGGCACTTACGGCCAGCAGTGTATCTGCCACATCGACCGAATCACCATAGCCGACCCTGCTACCAAATATAAATTCCTTATAGACACCAGCACCAACATCTCTGTGATTCCAAAAATTTTCAACCCATATCCTAGCAAACCTGAGAAGCTAGTCCTGTTTGACATAAATGCAACGCCT